TGGCTCTCCAACAACGCAACCAATCTTCTAATAAATCCTTTGCCCAAGTCACGGCTTATTGCCCATATGTCTAAAGTGCTATTGTTGATAGTAGATGTTCCTATTCTTGCACCAATATCTGGTTCTAGATTGACCCAAATTCTATAAGAAATCTTTCCGAACCAATTATCCTTGGAGGTATCGCTGGAGGTATGAGCATAGAGTACATCGCCAGCGCAGATTGGGAGACTCTTGATGAACAAGGGAATGTTATGTCGTTCAAGGAGCAGGTTATGATTCATCCTGATCTTCAAAACAGACACCTAAGCCCTCAATCTTTCATGTCCCATCAAGCACTGACCCAAGAGAACATCAAACGTCACGATCACTCAGATCTGCCGACCATGTCGGCTAATGCAAATATCGGACCCTGCATGTGTGGTGCCGTGTGTCTGTGTGTCTTCAGTTCTTCCTGCATTGATCGATAGCTTCGAAGCTGTTTTCTAAAGGCAAGGACACTGGAGAGCTGGAATTATTGTGCCCCAGCGACTGAGTTCCAATGACTCCAAGGATGCCCATCAGCTTGTATCTCGACAGGTTTCTGTTAGCCCGACATTTGCGAGGAAGCCTGGTTGGAGTTGAAGGTTGAGAAGAGAGAAATAGGTGTCCTTAAGATGTAATTTTTGCTTTAAGAGAGACATCGCGTGTACACAGATCCGAAGAATCATTTTCGGAATTGACAAGTATTGAGTCTGGGTCTGGATCGGGATCAAATGTTTTGGCCGATTGAAGCGTGGAAAAACAAGTTGGTGTATGCAAGAGAGACCAACTGAAGAATGGTATAACCTTTAAACTTTAGAAGCAAGTTGTAAAACCAAAAAAGAACAAACACACCGCACCCGGAGACATAGTCCAATGAGATATGGTGGGAAAGATAATGGAGCAGAGACAGCATCAGCACATTTTAGCGGTGATACTGAAGAAAGGTTGCTCCCTCAAGAATCAGGGCTAGAAATCGAAGTGTATTTGATAAATAGTCTGCATAGCAGACTCATCTTCTCCCTCCAATACATGAGAAGGACATAGACCCAGAATAGAAGGGCACAAATGGGGCAAAAGAATAGGAATGAGAAACACTTTGCAAGTGTGTTTTCTGCCGAGAACATCACATGAAAGCCCCATAAGGTAGCTGAAGAGAGCGGAGGTCTCTCAGAACTGAGATCTCTGCGTGCCATGTTTACCTGCATGGAATCAAATCATAACCCAACATTGGGACTGGCGTGTATAAACTACATCAGTGGCTGAGAACAGGGACATCAGCAGCGAACATGGTAATCCCATGGCGGAAGAAGCAAGGTTGCCACAGCAGTGATTGGGGCTGATGCTGGCGAAGCGGGTGGTGGAGGAGTGTTGCCACCAGAAGAGGGTGCCTTGTAAGGAAACTTAGCTGAACCACGATGTTCACTGGTGAAATGAGCACTGTGCCTTTTGAGAACTCTTCCACAGTTTCGACAGTAATTAGCAAACACCTTCCCATAAACAGAAATGTGTGTGTGGGCATCATCGTGATGTTCTCCCTTGGCAGGCATGGGAAGCAAGCTTGTCTTTGATAGAGTTGTGAGTTTGGAGTTGGTTTAGCACTCAGACCGTTGTCCTTGGGGTCACCTCGCTTGGACATTGCTGGATCTTTCTATGATGATCGTAGCTCCACAATCAAAGGAGGCCGCCTCCACTAGGACGGTACGCGCCACTGGCTGACCACTGTTTCGATTCTGGATGAGACTCCCAACTTTTGCTTCAACTGCTTTGTCAATTGCTGCCTGGAAGGCTTGGCCTGGATACCTTGGATCCAAGATGTTGTGGCAGGCTCATAGAGTTTTCTGGTTGATTAGGAACCGATAGAGGGCATCCAAGTCATTCAAAGTGTCGAGTGCTTTCAATTGTTTGTTCCATATTGCTATCAAATCCGCTTATGTCACTCTTGACAACAAGCTCATGGATTTGGATCGAAAGTATGGCAAACCACAGCCAAGGAGACCCTCAAAGATGTGATGGTTATTCAGCATGGATCACTGGACATAAAGTTTAAGCGAACTCTTTGATGATCATTGCTTGCATCGACAACATACATGGAAACATTTCCCCAGGAACTGGTGATGTCCAAGTGAATGTACTGGCTTTGAGGTCTCAATCTTCTGATGAAGGTCTGTATATTTGTCTGCAGAAGAGCCAAGAGAAGTTGGGGCCCATTGTGTTTTGGCTCTAGGAACATATGATTCTCATTCTTCCTGAGTGCATCAGTGCAAGAGTTCAAGACAGCCTTTCCCCGACCAGGCAAGGTTGGTTTAGATCATACTGGAAACAGATGTTCTGCAGATCCCCATGCATCGATGAGTCTGACCCCATGAATTGAGGTCCTGATGCCATTTTTCCTTCATAGACTCTAGAAACCTGTCCAGGAGCAGTGAACATGTTGATTTTATTAATTGTGTTAGTATTAAGGTCTCCAACAACAAGCTGGAAGACCCTTCCATTCCATGCTCTGTCATCATAATCTCAAGCTAGTTGCAAAGTAGCCACGTCCACTCAAGAGAGGCTATGCACATGAGACCCGGAAGATTGGACTCAGTAGAGTTGAGAATAGTAGATTGGTGGAATCCTTCATCTTTCTTGCATGCCAATTCAATTAGCTGGATGTGTAGGTCTAGTACGACCTGGCTTTCCAAGTCTCCCGGAAGGCTCCGTCACCATGGAAACCCCTGAGGGATAGGGTGCCGTTTGCTTGTCGAGGTGTCCTTCCCTGTCCTTCTGCTGACCGAATCTGTTACCCACTGCTCCTGTTCATCGACTAGCCAGTCGTTGGGTTGATACCTCCAAGCGCAGGGGCTTCTGTAACCTTGGTTCTTGTTTCCATTCTTGAGGAAGCTCATATGGTCAGCCGATGAGCCGCGTATCTGCTGGCTGGTAGTGGCGTGCCTGGAGCCCTTACGTTCGGGCATGTTCGCGCTGCGTTCATGGTCGGAGTGATCAGATGGACGAGATGATTTGATCGATTCAAAGAAGGGCTGGTCTGCAGCCTTGTGAGACTGAACAAGGAATGTTGACTTAGCTGCACGTGCTGTTGTTGAAGATGAAGTCTGAGGCAGAGGAAGCGTCGTCAGAGGTTCCATCATGAGAATCAAAACAGGAGGGCAATGCAACAAGAGAGGAGCAAGACGAGCGACAGGGAGGAGCAAGAGCGCCGGGAACCAGTCATCGAAGTAATCGTAAACTGGATTTTGTGAGCTTTGACTTGTTATCCGTCGAAGAACTCGATGGCGAATGCTTTGAATTAAAAGACCAACTGCAAAGCCATTTTAAAACGGTACCAATGCCAGTCCTAGGTAAAGGTAGAGCGATGGAGTAATAGCAACAACAACAAACGATCTATCGCTCGCGTTGTTGTTCTCCGTGTTGTCGCTCGCGTTGTCGTTGTTGTTCTCCGTGTTGTCGCTCGCGTTGTTGTTCTCCGTGTTATCGTATGGAGTGGTCAATCGTGTTTGAATGAAAAAGTGAGGAGTTATTTGCGAAGATATAAGGCACGCATGACTCCGGCAATTCAAACCGATAATATCGGGCGATAAAGCATGACTCAATGCATGACACACAAGCCGAGCCTTATATATGCAGTCAAGCCTCATTTTATCGCGATTTTTGTTAACTTGGCTGATCGATCGATCCATGCTGAAGCTGAGCATGGCGCGACAGAGATGAGGCAAGGCTCTGATTCTGCCGGTGATAGAGATAGCAGTAGTAGCAGCAACATTACCAGTACTAGCGGTGACTCCTGCAGTGATCGCGACAGAATCCTCATTGAGATTACGATCGTCAATAGGATTAAGAAAGGTGGACTCCAATAGGAGTCCATATATAGGATCCTCATCGCAATTTCGATTGACGACAGGATGGTCCACATTGAGATTACGATCGTCTATAGGAGTAAGAACAAGGGGATTGCTTTCGAGCGAATCCAAGGGAAGTGAGTTGCAATAAAGGGAAGGACTACCGATGAAGAATGCAAGAGAAAACTCATCAGGAGCAATCTGCATCAAGGAGTAGCACATTCCATTGACAACCATAGGGGATAGACATATAAGAATAAGAATGAGTAACATCTCATAACCTCGCATGCTACCATGCGACAATACCATTGTGCATTGACTAGTCTAAGGATCTAAGAGATGTAAAGTTTGTATTTCCAAATAAGTGAGCAGTTATTGATTATTTTCTAGAATAAGCCTGCTAATTGTAAAGCTGTAAAGCTGAATTGTAAGCTGTATCCCGTCGCAGCTCTAGCAGGAGCTTTACTCCTGTCCGAGTCCATGCAGGCCACCAAGAGTCAGCCTTACGAACAAAAGAGGATTAGCCACTCTGAAGAATCTTCACCAGCGGGGCACCGCTGCGTTGTCCGCTTCGTTCGGCTTAGTCACAATAGCTACGTTTTGGAGGTGATTGCTAGCTAACTTCTGGTACCGTAGTAGGCTCCCACCATGAGACTTTCGCTCTCACTCGTTCCTAGTTTATTCTGAAACAACCGATTGCAAGGTAACCGTGGCGTGAACCGGAACTCCTCTTCTATACCCAGTAGTTTTTGCCATGTACAGCTATGAGGTTTGAATGTCTCTCCTCGTTGCGAGTAAACCGGTGCCTGGTACCCATCCATGTATAGATCGGCATGGCACCGTGCTCTCGTCCAGCAGCAGCAGCAAGGCACAGGAACAGGTTCCTCAAGTGCAAGCAAAGCAGAAAGGACCTTTTGGGGATGAGAAAAGGTTGGGATCGCTGTTATACTGACAAGAAGATTCATCAAACATGAAGTCCACCCAGGCATTCGTTTCGAGAATGCTGCTGCCCCAGCTACACAGATTCCTGTTGAAGCTGGATGCATATCGAAACATATCCGTGAAATCGGTCCCCGCTGCAGGAACCCAGCTGGAGATGTCTACATTGAAAGATGTAGCGGTATCAAACATCTGAAGGATCCAAGAAGTGAGTTGCTATGGATACAGATAATGTTGATACGGGTCTGTGTTCAGCTCGTCCAAGAAAGCAACTTACCTCATCAAACCTGACAACGTTGGAAACATCCCAATTAGAGATATCTGAGTTGAATACATAGTTCCATTCAAACATTACCCCCATGTCAGTTACGGAAGCAACATTCCATGCTGAGATGTCCCCTGCAAAGGCCTGCATAATCAAAAGCCGAGCAACAACCTGGTAAGGATTGGCTCCGCTACTCTCCCAGCAAACTCATGTAGCCACTTACACTGGGTCCAGTAAACATGGCGAACATGTCCCCCACAGATGAAACATCCCAGGTTGAGACGTCACCATTAAAGGCATTGTTGTCGCCAAACATTCTGTCCATTCGTTGTACTTTCGCTGTGTTCCAGGCAGTCAGAGATTCTGAATAGGAACTGGTCGACTCAAACATACTCTGCATGGATGTAACTTTCTGTTGGATGGTTCGACAAGAAAACGTTGTAAGACCAACCAGACCAGGCAGATTTCATGATGTTAAACCCCCGCGTACCGAAACGTCCCAGTTCCCCAGTGATCCTGCATACGTAGCTGACTTGAACAAAAATGACATATCTTCCACATTCTATTGGCAAAGAATCAAAACAACTTTAAGCAAGATTCCAAATAGACGACCAGAGAGCATCGTAACCACAACAACTCACAGACACATCCTATACGAAGAAGAAGAAAAAGCAAGATAAAGCAGCGAAAACAATTGAGTGAGACGTGAAAGGCCTTGTAAGTTCATGGTTGTGTTGTCAATAACATACCCATCCATTGATGTCTTCATTCAATGTCATAGATGAAAATAATCCACTAAAGTCAGTCACAGATGGTTCAAAGCACCAGCCAGAGATGGGCCCATACGTTGTGTATGGGAAAGCTAGATTGTTAGTCCAGTCAGCAGAAATGGCAGAGACAAGATCGGATTTGGCTGCAAAACAAGAGTACGCGGATGAGGGTGCTGAAGTAGGAAGGGCGGTAGGTGCTTTACTTGGGATGTGAGTTGGTGGTTGTGTTGGCATGGTTGTGGGCACCTTAGTTGGAAAGTTTGTGGGTACCTTTGTGGGCGGTCTACTAGGGGGCAGGGTGGGTGGTACAGTTGGAGCTAAGGTTGGCTTTTTGGTAGGAGATGCTGTGGGGCGTTTGGTTGGAAGTTTAGTGGGTGGTTCTGTTGGTATCACTACAGGTGGTACAGTTGGAGCCAATG